GTACCAGGTTCAGCAGAGCACTAATTCGCTCGCCCCAGGCGACCGACCCGCCTCCAAGCTCAAACCAAATTACCTACTCGCCCTGCTCACCAACCCACCAACCTAAAAACTCTCACTCACCCTGGATGACCGATCGCCTATTCAGTCCACGCCACACGCCCTCTCACCACTCAGTAAGACAGACCGACCGAACCAATACTAAACACGATTTCATCTTCCTGATCTCGACCAAAAAACCCAGAAAATACTCGAAATTGCCGGATTCTTCCTGGATATCCACCGGAAAATTCAAATCTATGCCTATTCTCCAAATCCTAACACCAAAACACTTGGAAACCCAGTTTAAACCCACTCAAAAGTTCAAAAAACCTTCATCCTACCTCCCAAAGTTTCAACAAAAAAGAAACCAAAAACAGAACAGCAAATCGGCCTAAAGAGAAAAAATGGTTACCTTGGATGATTGCAAAAAAGACCACCGTCGCTCAAGAAACTGGGACAAAAAAGAAGAAAAAGGGGAGAGAAATTTTTTGGATGAAAACACAAAACAAACGCAAATGGAAGATGAACAGTCTGTTCCTCAATTTTGTAAAGAAAATGCAAACACGCGGCAGCTTGTGATTGGTCAGTTGTCAAGGGTTCTCTTCGTTTTCCCTCTCTCGAAACGACGGATCGATCGCCACCATACACGTGGTAGTGATCCGAACCACCTGGGAAACCGTGGCCCCGTACGAAAGCTGCGTCTCGATCGCCCGGCTCTTCTGACCGACTCAGTTTGTACCTCCCGAAATGAGTCCGACGCGCATCCAATCTTCACACGCCAACAAATCCACTTGGCCACTCGATCCACCCGACCGACTCAGCTTTTCAGCTCAAGAGCCCTCCCAAACATCCCATGCTTAGCCGGCCCGGAAGGCCTGGTCGACCGATGCATGAGTTTGGAATAGCCCGGGTCGAGCCATCTTCAGAACAAAATTGGAAACCTCGCCCATTCATCCGTCCGTGGAGAACGAGTAGACAACGTGTAGCTGAGATGCCTCACCCACTTGGTCGTCCCAACATCCCGAGCGAGTGAAGCTTTTTAGTAAACTTCCTGAACCTGTCCGATCCGGCATGACGAATGAATGCCTCTAACGGTCTCCTTGCTAGTCACGCGGATGTACCGAACGACCACATCTAGTTCTCTGCTCTTCAGCTCGTCGAACCAATCAGGCACATCGCAATGATGGCATACTCTGGGTCAGGAATGGATACCGAACGACGTCCAATCAAGGATCACGTGCGACGGTCAGATCATTCACTCCAATGATCGTTCGTCCATGAGGGAAGACCGAGCTCGCTTTGAGCACAACCTACTCTCTGACTTAAGATACTCTCAACTCAGAGAGTGGGGGACAAACTGTTAGGGCCAAAAATTGTCCTTGGCCCAAATAAGGAAATAGGACCACTAGTGAAGAAAGACCAGGCCCAGTCCTACAGAGGCCCAAGCCAGATTAGTCCTATTTGACACGAGGTATAGCCGGCCCAAACCACGTGGGCGCGAGCCTCTTAATCCCAGTCCATTTCCTAGGTCCATGGGCGAATCCAGAGCCCACAGCCCCCTCAGAGTACTTTCCTACTCCTAATCAACCTCTTATTCAAGGTCGCCTTCCTATTCCTGATCACTTTCCTACTCAGAGTTACTCTCCTAATCAGAATCACCTTCCTATTCGGACACTGGTAAGACAACTCACCACGGCCCTAATTCTTCTAGGGTTTGCATTAGAGTCATACTAGGACTCCTACTTCTACCAGGATTGGGAGACCAGACAGTCACTATATAAGCAGAGGCAAGCCCTCTCACAAGGGACATTCAACCTTCACACCAAAAGCTCTGACTTGAGAACTTCACATCACCGCCGTAGTCACAGTCCCCGACTAGACTTCCGATAAACTTTTATTCCCTAGCCCTCACTATATTAGCCTTTCAGCCTTGCTAACTTGAGCGTCGGAGTGCCTACGACAAACACCACACTGGTGTTTCCCGTTCGCTTCACGCGTGTGTTTCCTACATGTGCAGGTACAGCAGATCGCTAGTGGCCTCAATCTCGCGGGATCAGACCCTCTCTTTCCGTACAGGCAGATTTTTACGTCTACAGCCTACCATCCCCAATCAAAAGACAAACAGAAGTTGTAAACAAGTGTTTGGAACACTTTTAGGGGACAAACCCAAAACTTGGGCTGACTGACTTCATCTAGTGGAGTAGTGGTACAATACTAGTTTCCATTTTTCAACTCAAGTCCCTCCATTTGAAGCCTTATATGGAATGCCTCCTCCAAGACTAGTGGATTACATTCCCATGATTGTTGAAAATTCATAAGTAAAGCACATTTTACATTCTTGCTCTCAACTTTTGACAAAAATTAGAAACAACCTCACTGTGGCACAAGAGATTATGAAGGCTCAATATGAAAAACACCACACTAAAAGGACATTCAAAATTGATGATTGGGTTTGTTTGAGTATTACAGCCTTACAGGCATCATAGTGTTGCTTGGAGATCTAATCTCAAATTAGCTCATAAATTTATGGGCCCTTTGGAGTGGTTCAAGAATTGGGTCGGTGGCCTACAAATTGGACCTCCCATCTACATCAAGGCTCCATTCAATATTCCATATCTCTTGCCTGAAAAAGAAATTAAGACGTCATGTCACTTCCTAATTTGCCACCCACTGATGTAGAAGGTGAGTTGTTATTGGAACCAGAAGCGATCTTAGACAGACTATGAGGAACATCAATAACAAGGCTAAAACTTATGTGTTAGTCTAGTGGACGGGCTTAGCTGCCGAGAATGCCACTTGGGTTCCGTATAAACAGCTTTTTAAGCAATTTCCTCACCTTTTGGGCAATGTGTTTTAAAGGGGGAAGGAATTATTAGGACCGAATTAATAAACCGCTACAACAAAATGGTGCCAGGTGTGATAATGGTACAAGGACAGAGCAAGGTAGAGGTGTACGTACGTGTTATTGCTTTTGGCATTCAATTATGTTTTTTGTATTTTTGTCTAATTTTCTTTTTGTCTAATTTTCTTTTTGTCAATTCTGGGAATATACGAGTTAGTCCAGACTTATTTAAATAGTAGGAGAAGAGATATAAAAGGCAGGCAAAAAGTGTAACATTTTCAGCTATATTCTGCAAGGAGTTCTACTATTCTTGAATATATATAGTTCATTCTCTTCTAAATATGTCTTCTTCTCTATTATTTTTTGTGAGTCTCATAACACTGTCACTTTCATTTATGTTGTTAATTTGATTTACTATTAATTGATACAAATATTGTGTTATTGTATGTGGTGGTGGGGTTTCTTTTTTTTTTTTTTCTTTTTTCTTTTTTAGAAAAGATTTACCAAAACTATAGGGGGCAAAGTGATTTTCTCTAATTTTTCTACGTAGAGACAATTATTTTGCAAAAAAGATCACGCTAGGAAACAATGTAAAATTGTAAATTTGTAATTATTTCTTAATTTCTTTTTAAATCAAATCTTACATTTAATTTTCCTTAATCGATTTTGTAAAATATTTCAATATTTTTTAGCTTACATCTCTGAAAGACTTTTCCATGGCCTACAATGACTCCTTCTAATGCTAGAAGACTTTATTTATATATTTTGCGAAATCATTTATATATATATATATATTGGTTCTATTACTTAAAATTTCTTTGAAATCTCAATTTAAATTATGTTTTAAGAGAAAAATGATAGATGGGCTCCATTTGAATATCTAAGTTGTGTTTTGGAAGTAACAATGATAGTTGAGGATTCTACTATGGTTATATTATTTCAAAGTAAAAACTGAATAAAGGGTAATTATAGAATTTGCATATTGGGAGAAACAGTTTGTCGTTGGATTCCAAGTTGATTGAGCAGAAAATGAAGGCCTGGTGGTTACTGGGCTTCAATGATTAGATTGACAGCTGTACGGTCCATTTAAAGCCCAAATGGAGGCAGTTCACCCACTCCATTTCCAATGGGCTGAAGAATCTAGCATATATGTTCCAGATGGAAACGCACGCGCTCCATGGAGCGAATGGTGAAAATCCTTTCATTTTAAATATCTCTATAAGAAAATTTTGCTATTAACATGCGATTAATTTTATTATTATCTCTTTGAGGGTCCATATACCAAATATTAGATTACTTATTAGTTATTAGGTCATGTTGTGAGATTAAATATATCAATGTAAAATAATATTAAACTATGCATTTAGTTTTCATGAATTTAACAAAAATAATTACCAAATCCTATTTTAATAATTAAAAGATACATATTTAGACAAAAATAAAACATATCTTGGTGTAATTTAAATAGAAACATAATTAAATCAAAATCTATATCTCTTGTGCATTATCTTAAATTAAATGATATTACCTTTCAATATTCGATTTAGGAAGAATTTTGTCAGCCTAGAATATGAAAATTAAAATCATATTTTTATATTTTTCATTACACCGTTTCATTTGTATCGATTTCATCCATGTTGTCAAATTGAAAATAAGAAATATCATTCTTATTTCTAAGAGTTTCTAAATTTATCAAGCTGCAGATAACTTTGTAATATTATTATTAGTATTAGATTTTCCCACGCATTAATAATCATACAAATAAAATCATAGTTAACACCTCATAAAATTTAGTATACTTTTAAACTATTCCTTATAGTTTAAATTTCCCTATAGGACAATCATCTCCTTTAAGATTTTGCTTAATCTTCTCTAAAACTTGATTTTAGTGATTCTGGTGACTCTGGTGGGGAGGTGAATGATAATTCTCAAACTTTAAGATGCATTTTTAATTACGGAAAATCAGAGGTAAAAATTAGTAATAACCCAGAAAATATTACAAATTCTTAAAATTTAGAAAATATACTACAACGCGCTCTCAGCAGAGCGTGGAAAAGCATCACCTTCACTTTCGCTTAAACAACAATAAACGAATGACACTGTTGCACTTGCACAGACAAATCAAGTTTTGAAGTACCCATCAAAGATCTTCTTTCTTGCTCATCCTAAATTTTTCAGAACAATTACAACTTTTTTATAGCAAAATGGTATCAGTTCAGAGAAATTAACATGAATCCTTCACTTTCTTCTTCTTCCTCTCTGTCCCCAACATCTTCTTCTTCTTCTTCTTCTTCTTCTTCTTCATCAACAACAACTGCATCGACTTCATGGTTCTCGGGCATTGTCCGAGGCCGCTCTGTTAGGTCTTCAAGTCTCAAAGTTTCTAATAATGCCTTGCCCTCCGGCGGGGATTTCTTAGGTCCGGTTAAGGGCAAGAACCAGTTTCGTGGTGTGCTCTTTAAGTACGGTCCCAAGCCTACTCAGGTCTGTCATTTTAAATCTTTTTATTGTTGATTGAAGTTTATGAGTGGAATGTAAATTTTAGGAATTTTCATCATTTGGGTTCAAATTGTAATTTAGTTTTTATATGAATACTGAAATCTGGAGTGGAAAGTTTGGTATGGAAATTCCTTCATTTGATTCATTTCTAGTGGTTTATTGGGTTTTAAAGATAATTTCTTTATGTTTTTTAGATTGTGAAACTTGTGATTTGAAGTTGATGTTTGCGCATATGCTGAATCTGTTTCATGAATATTTGTCAAGATTTGTTTTTGGGATATTTGGAAATCTTGAAAATAGTTCAATTTTAGCTAATTCAAGTATAGGGAGCATCAGGATTGAGAGCTTTGGAAAATTTTAATGTTTTTTCGTGCGGCAAAGTAATTGATGAATTTTCATTGGTGTAGTGCAACTTTAGGAGTGCTACTGATTGGTGATATCTCTTTGTAGACATCTATTGTAGAGGACAACATGATACAGGCTACATTATGGCATTTTTATGGAAATCTAATTGATGACAATATGCTGAAAAACATATACACATAGGTAAGAATTCAATCGCAGCATGTGTTTGCTGATGCTGGTTTACTGGTCTGAGGAGGGAAATATTGGTCATGTCTGCAAAAGGTTTTGTGAGTTAAAAAACTTATTCATCTGTATCCTTGGGAACATTTAAAAGTCGTGGTGCTTTAGAACACCAATTATATAGTTAAACATGAGCATCATTAAATGATCCAATCAGAATGAAGGTTAAGAAATTGAATTTCTAAGCTATTCATATCTGAGAACCACGTAAATTGGACCTGTGAGTTGGATCTTGAAATATGTGAAGAAATGATATTTTTGTCAACAAAAATTGTCCATTCAGAGACCATAGTGTTGCGAAGCATCTCCTAGTAGTTGTTGGACCATATAAAACTTGTCTGGAGTAGTAGTAACATGTTCACATGAGAAAACTTGGTCATTACTGAGAAATGGGTTCCATTTATGGTAGGTGTTGGGACAACAACTTGGGGCTTCTTTGGTATCCTATATTTTAATCTGATTTTAGTTACTTTGCTCTCATGGGCTGTCTAATATTTGTTGTTGATTTTTGTATTTATCTCAGCTTTCATGACCATGCTGTCATGTACTTTTTAACATATTGACTTTGCATTTTTTTTTTTTTTTTTTTTTTTTTTTTTTTTTGACATCTCTCTCTGTTTTCTTTACCTTGCAGGTTGCCTTTAAAACTGGTGACTATAAACAACAGGTTATTTTTATTGGTGGATTGACTGATGGTTTTATTGCAACTGAGTATGTTTCGTATCATTTACTTTGATCCACTGAATTAATATCTCTGAGCAATACGTTGCGTCATTGCCTTTGTTGTTTCTTTTCAACATAAATGACATGTAAATATAGGTTTGATCCTTTAACATAATTTAATCTGACATTTCAAAGTGACAGTAATTTAACATTTGAAAGAGATGGTGAATCATGCTTCAAAATTGCTACTTTGATATATTTTTATCTATATTTGTCCTTTTGATTTCAAATTGTCAAGCATTTTGCCTTTATCTGTAACAAAGGAAGACAATCTATGTTTGATGGTTGAGTAAATTAATAGGATTCATTTTCTTCTAATACCTGGCTGAATGCTGAAGTCATATTTGTAGTCTTTTTCTTTATTAATTCCTGACATAGTTTTTCTTTCCTGATTTTCAGATACTTGGAACCTCTTGCAATTGCTTTGGACAAAGAGAGATGGTCACTTGTGCAGCTACTTATGTCATCTTCATATAGTGGATATGGCATCTCCAGTTTGAAACAAGTAATCATATGCCTTCCTATAAATTGCTATCTGGCCTGCTGACCAAAAATTTTTATCGTTAGGTTGTTGTTTGAAGATGTTTCATTGGTTATGATATACATTATTTATCCTGTTTGTTAAATGAATGTATACAATTTAACTGTTCAATATGTGCTTTATAGTTCATTGATGGGCTTATTTAGAACTTAAGTGCAAGCTGTGGCAGTTTAAACTTTTCATATCTTTACCATTCAGTGTTATTTTTGGGTTAAGTTGGAAAGTAGTATATGTAACATGCCATGTTTTCCTGCTGTTGTTATGATATGATATTTTACTGCCTGGATTTAAGATATTTTTGCATCACATGTCTTGAAGGATGCCATGGAACTTGATCAGCTTATTAGTTATCTGATTAACAAAGAAGACTCTGAGGGTGTGGTACTACTTGGTCATAGTACAGGTTGTCAGGTGATTGCTTATTGTATTATAAACTTTTGTTGAATTTGAAGCTCTTTGAGTACTCATCCATGTCATTTTTCTGAGGAAATAAAATCATCTGCTCTTGTGTTTGCATATGATTCCAGGATATTGTGCATTATATGCGTACAAATGCGGCATGCTCGAGAGCAGTGCGTGCTGCAATTTTGCAGGTACCAACCATCCATTTTTTAGTTACTTATTTGCATTACTGAATGTAAGTCATAAGTTGTTGCTCTTTCTACTTGTAAGTTTTTCTGCAGTGAATAAGAATTTTTGTTATAACTGATACATCTTGCAATCTGTTTGATTTTCAAATTCAAATTCTGGTTCAGATCACATCATTAGCCATAACTAAACTACTCATTAATAGTGGTACTGCTGCAGTATGGTATCTTAGTTGTAGGTTGAGCAACCAATATTTGCGAATAAAAGCATAATATTTGCTAGTGTTAATGTAATTCTTTTTATAGTTTTGGTCCAAGTCCCATTTTTCACCCATGGAGACTTCATATGGAGGAACTACATTATATTGAGGAAAAGACCATTACCATCCCTTATATTGGGGCCAAGGAAGAGAGATAAATGAGGGCCAAGCTCTTAAATAGTCAAATCTCGGTTGTTATTGTCCAATGGTGTCTCTTGTTACAACAACAGACTACATAATTTATAGATCAAATGTAAAATCTATGATACTTCTTTTGATGGCTATTAATTTTCTCTTTAAAATACAATCAAAATTTGAAGTTCATTTGGAAATCTTTAACTAATTCCTTTTTTTAATTTCCCTGCTGAAGAAATTTCATTATGCTTTTGTGTCATACATGATTATGCCTAAAGACACTTTGGCCTACACAGTGACCACTTATTATATCAACTTCAGTACGGTCTGCTGTCAAATGATGTGATTTTGAATTGCATTACAGTCTTATACCACAAGCCTTGTACAGTCTTTTCGATTTTGATATCAAATGATAACCTTGTCAAGTTTCTTCTTGCATAATGTGATGTTTCATGTACTGCCATTTTCTACGCTTGGTCACACTGTCAATTGAAACTTTCAGGCTCCAGTCAGTGATCGGGAATATAAAGCAACTCTTCCTGAAACGGCCGCTATGATTGACTTGGCTTCAAGCATGATAAAAGAAGGCCGAGAGTCGGAATTAATGCCTAGGGAAGCAGAACCATCTGCTCCTATTACCGCTTATAGGTGGGTGTATATTGCCTTATTCTTGTCATCCTTGAATTGTGGGATATGCTTAATTTCTTTTCTCATTATCATTGATTTTCCATTTTCTTTTTTTTTTTTCCCGGTAGTTAGGAACTTCTGAACTTTGGTCATCTCTCTATCATTTCATACTTCTCAATTCTTTACTAATAATCTACCTAGGATATTTAAATATTATCCGATATTTGAGTCGTAGTAACTAAAATTCGAGTTGACAGAAACGTCTTCATGCTTTTTAATGCAAGGATTTTACAAATGTTTAATATCTTTACAAGGGATATTTGTCTTTTTAGTACCTGTTTGTGATTTATTTTCCTCCAGGTTTCAAATTTACAGCCTACATTATTTCTCTGTCTTCTCCCCCATTTTGGTTATGTAGAGAAACAAGTCAGGTTTAAGATATATTCTGTCAGTTCTAATTTCTTCTTTTTTAAAATTAAAAAACTGGAACTTGAATTAGTGCGGCATTCTGTTGTATCAAAAATTTGCCTTTCACTAAACTATTGGAAGAACAGATGGGTACTGCAAATAAGATTGTCATTTTTTATACTGTTGCTTTATTGCTAAAAGCCTAAGTATTATGCAGGTATCACTCTCTTTGTGCCTACATGGGGGATGATGACATGTTCAGTTCCGATCTTAATGATGATCAGCTGAGACAGAGACTTGGTCATATGGCTAATATACCCTGCCAGGTGTGCATTTTCTGCAACTTTATACTTGCCAGTCCATCCCCCTTTGCAACTAAGTGTTATTTCTGTCCTGCTGATTTAATGCTTGATAATTGCCTACAACTTGGTTACTTCATACTTTTTTTCTGCACAGGTTATATATTCCATGGCTGATGAATATATACCAGAGTATGTTGATAAAAAAGCATTGGTTGAAAGGTGAGAATGTTTATATATAAAATGTATAAATATTATTTTGCTTCTCTTGGTTTATATCCTCAAGGAAATAGCGTGGTTGGTAGGCTCTCTTGCTTACAAAACAAGAGAACCGGGGGATCAAATTCTCCTTGTACCAACTTTGAAGTGGATCAGTTTAATTTGAGTTTTTCATTGGAAACGGTGGGTATGGTGCTTGTATGAAAACATGATAATAAAGAAAACTTTTTTCTGAGTTTACAAATCATGTAAATTGGTAGTGGACGACATAGATGATTGGCTTGGTGGAATTGGTTGTTGTATTAGATGATGGGGCTAACGAGTAATGACATGTTAATATTAAAATGATGCAGATTGTGCAAAGCTTTGGGTGGAGCAGAGAAAGTTGAGATTGAACATGGGAATCACTCGCTTTCAAACAGAGCCCGTGAAGCTGTTCAGGCTATAATTACCTTTGTGGGAAGAGAAGGACCTAAAGGCTGGGATGATCCATGGAGCTAATGCTGCCCCTTCTTCTCATCTTTATGCTCTTCTAATTCTTCTATTCTTTTTGGTTATTCCAGTCTGCTGGTCCAATATAGAGTGTGTAGGTTGGCGTTGGGTTTGTAGTATTTTTATTGAAATTCATCTTTGAAATTATAGCTACCTTTTTTATTATGCTAAATTCGCTATTCTAATTATTATAATCATCAAATTTCATTTATTTCCCAATATTTTATTGTATTAAAAAAATAAAAATGAAAAAACCCAGTTAAAATATATCAAATATTCATGAAGCAGGCAAACAGCAATAGAATATGTAGACATAACATAATTTAAATAATTGCAAAAAAATGTTTACATTAATAAACATTGTAGTGATTTGAAGAAAAATAAATGACTCAAACATCTGATCAAATAATAATATAATATTACTATGGCTGGAAAGAAAGTAAAAGTATCCATCTCAACACTACAACGGACGTGTGTTGAATTACGAGCTTATGAAAGGTCAAGCTGACACAATAGACGTTTTCACAAATATGTAATAAATTTGAGAAAATTCTACGTGAATATTCTACCATAGTAGGTATTCAAGAATGAGTACATGAAATTTTTTTATTAATAGAATTTTTTCAAAGAAGGACAAATGTGGTATTTAATTGGTTGGTGTACTTTCCGATAATGCCTTCATGACTAACCAAAATCCTGTTTTTCTTCTTCTTTAACTTGCCTTTTGCGTCACATCATCTTTAGCATTTACCATTTCAAACCCTACTGGAGCTTCACATATTTCAACTTTTGGTTTTATCACGAAGTATGAGTGGAGCAGTGACAGTGGCTGTGGCTGGCTTTCACCCATTTTTTCTGCCACTTTCTCTTTTAAAATAAAAAATAAAAAAAGTAAGGTCCACCATTTTCACTAAATTGTGAGTCACTGTAAGCAACTCATCTTCCATTCTTAACATGTGGTTTCAAGATCAAAGGGCCAGTCTGGCTTTTTGTGTTTAGTATGTCCACAACCACAAGCCACGCTCAGATGTACTAGGTCTAGAATGTGTCATTATGCTTCGTTTGGCTCTATATTGTGAACCCATTTATTCATCTCATCATCGATCAACATTTGACTTTTAGTTTTAGAGTATAAGTTTGACAAATAATTCAAATATGATGTTAATCCAAGATTCATAAACAGAATTATCTCTTCCATGTAATTAATAATATTAAACTCATAATTGAATTGTATGTTACCTTTGATTAATTCAAATTTTTAACATAATACATTTAATTTTGTGGGTTCGTCTTCATCATAATCTGGTCATAAGTGTATTAATGACAAACACTACGGTTGTTGTTAAGAGTAAGTGAATGAATCTTAAAGCTCTTGAGTAAATACATCCAAAAGTTTTTATCGTCTGACCCGACTATCTAAAAGTGGTTAACAATCTTTCTAACTTAGCTAACAAGATTTTCTAATATGTCATTTCGTAATAATTTGTATTCTAAAATAATTTAATTATTAGAAAAAAAAAAAGCAATCTATGTTGGAATTGAAAAAAAAAAACACTACTGCTAATGATTATGTTCCGTTTATACTATTGCCTATTCAAATGGAGCTGATTGAAGAAGAATTTATTGCAGTTGAGCTTATGAAATTATAGCTTTATATAAAAAGTTGTTAGTTTTTTCATTAAAATGTTAAAAAGTCTTTTATTATTAATTTACTAAATAAGGCTTTAATTATACAAGTACTCAAGTCAAATTTATAAAACATAATAAAGATATTTTTGAAATTTCAACACTCTAAATAAACTTTAAAAAAGCTTATGGGAAATGCTCAATCCATAGCTATAAAATAACTTATTTTAAGTTAAATAAGCCTTTTGCAATATCAACGTAAACAAATTTCGAAAATGCTTATGACTTTCTATTAACTCTTTTCACCGATAAATAAGTCTAACCAAAAGACTCTAATCAACTTTACCCCCTTAAGCAATTACTTGTCAATTCTATAATATTATAATATTGATACCAGATAACCAAGAGGTTTATGAGGGTAAAATAGTAAAAAAAGTTTTATAAACTCTTGAGTTTAATCCCTAAATACTATATGGATGGTCATTGAAACTTTTATCAGACCGATAATTTTAAGTTCTAATATAGTTAAGTGTACGTAAAATGACCCAAACACATCAGTGATAAAAAAAAATATATATCTATACCCTAATGATTTAAATAATTGGAGGACAAATTTGAAAGACAGCACAATGTTAATATACGACGAAACAAAGTAATTGATTACATGATAGAGAACCGGGTTAACCCACTTACGTAAACTAGATTTGATGTCATTTTTAAAATACAACTAAACACCAAAACCATCCATTAATTAGGCTTTAATTAGAGTGATCAAAATTAGGAGGGCGTTGGCCTTGACTGCCTTCACCAACATGTCACATGACACCCAACAAAACCATTTAATACAACCTCAAAAGACATTAATGCCCCTGCCTCGCTCACCGACGCTCTCTCTATCTGCATCAATCAATTCATCTGTAACTAACTGCGTGCCGCGTTGCTTTTTAGTAGATTGTCATTTCAATATCAACAAAGGGTTTTTTGTCACATTAATAATCGGTATAGCGGATAAAATATTTAACAGAAGATTTATAAAAGCTTTTACTTAAAAGGAAAGTTTTTGTAAATTAATTGAGAATTAAAGGTAGTTAACTTACTTATTAATAAACCCGCCAGGAGACTACGAAGAATGGTCTAAATATAATAATTTTAAATTATAGAAAAGGAATTATTTTTTAAATTGAGTTATTATTTATAAATTAAAGTAAATATCTTATAATTTGAGTAATACCATCATTGTTAAGAGTTTTTAGATAAAAAGAAAAAATCTCAAGTGATTTATCTATTTCAACATAAATTCTATATATTTGTCAAGTGAAAGAATTGAGAGTTTAAGGGCAAATTTGGAGAGAGAAAATATGAGGAGTAATACCCAATCCCGTGTGATCGAATAATTCAATTGAAATTTTTGAGTGTATTATTAAAGATTTTGAATCGAATCTCTACTTGATTGTTTAATGATAGTTACTAGAATTTTTACTTAAACGATAGTTCTAAGGTCTTAAGAGATTATTTTCCTATATGAGAGGTCATATAAAGATTTTATTTTGATGAAATATAGTTTAAAAACAAAACTTTGGATTAGCAAAAATATTTTATAAAAATATTAATAAGATTAATTAATAATTTAACACACTAGCCCCTTTTAATCCTTAAACGAGAGTTAAAATCGTTTAGACATTCTCAAATGGAATCTAACCTACCCCTCGTCTGCTTTGGACATATAAACAAACTGTGTCCTCTTCGTCCGAAAGCTCAAATCATACCCATAAAAAACAAAAGAAAAAGAAACAATACTTGCTGATAATTACATTGATTTCTATCTTGTTTTTCCTCAAGCCTCTAAAAGGGCAAGATTCAACAACACCTGCAGCTCAGATTGAGTTGTAATACTACATATTCCAGTAAGTTACACATACACACTACAATTCCTTCTTCATTATTATATGTTTTCTCGAGAAAAAGAATACTGTGGCTTTAATGAAACTCCCAGTTTGGGAACTTGGTTTTGTCGTCAAAGTTTTTTCTATTTCTCGTTAAAATAACTTAAAGATTTATTTATCTTCTTGTCTGTTATTTATCTTCTTGTTGCTGGGGTTGTTGTTTTCGTTTGTCTTACAGATGCCGAGAAAGTGGCGGTATCACCAAAACAGTGGCTGTTGTGCAGGGCCAATGCATCAATGGAGATTGTGTGCTAACAGCTCTGTATTTGTTGGGATGGTGGTGGTGTGGAGCGTCGATGGCTGTACTATAAAGAACTTCATTCAAGCTTGGAGGCTTAGGGAAGATTATATTTCCTTCAAACTCAATCCACTGTCGATCTAATCACAATAAATCAAAATCTCACTCTAAACACCCCCAATGTTCATGTTTCCGCCACCCAAAAACTAACCAAAACGACACCAACAGTTTTAGTCCTTTACCCAGTTTGTCTCAGACCCAAAACTACCAACCGGTACGACTAATTTTTCTTCCAACAGTTCTGCCAATTTGTCTCAACTCCAGAAGCGTCAAAGTGGGAATCAAATTTCGGAAAATTCGAGGTGGGTTTCAGTTGAACTGGAGCCCAACTTGACTAGTAATCTTCTGGCTCGTTGTTACTCCAGGAGGAGAGCCGTGTAAAGATTCCCGTACTGTGGAGATTGCAATTCGTGACCTAGATGGAGGGAAATGGTGGAGTATCAGCTGGTGAAATCCATGAATTTTACTTCCAAGCATTGGATGAGTCCGGGAAGCCTCGTTGTCTTGGTGGGGATTACTTCGAGACTGATCTTTCAGGAGGGTCATGGAAATCTAGGCCTGTGGTCAAAGATTTTGGTAATGGTACTTACTTGATTTCGCTTCAGGTTCATCCTGATTTTTCCGGTGATATAATTTGACCGTCTTTTGCTCTTTGACATTTTGAGGTCTTAAGTTTTCCCTCCAAGGTTTGTTTTGATAGAGAGTTGCGTCATATTCCCATTAGGTTCTTTAGAAGTAAAGCTAAACTGCCAGGGTTACAAATTTGTCGAAAATCTGATTTTACTAGATATATTTGGTCTGGAGGTGACAAGACATGGAAAAACGATGATTGTCGAATTAGCCAGGATGGTAGGTATAGGTGTCTAGCGCCAGATTTTCCCTGTCAAAGGCCATGGTGTAGTGGTTCATTGGGTCGATTGAGAGTAATGGTTGGGTATACTCAAGTCATTGTTCTTTTAGGATTTTTTCACTAATTCTGCTTGGAAATGTTTGAAAAATAGGTGGATTTTCTTCTGGGGCGATTCCAATCATGTTGATACAATAAGAAACATGCTGAATTTGTCTTAAATTTGCCTGATACATTCAGTTCCTGAGATTTATATGAATTTTTCAAACCCCAAGGACCCTTCTCAGTCGGTACGAATTACAAGCATTTTCATGGTCACTGGAATGAACACAAATTACCAAGGGTTGGATTCTTTGACAGATGAAGGATTTAGGAATTTGCTGAAAAATTACTTCTCTGAGGACACCGTTCCGGACTCGATAATTGTGAACTCAGGCTTCACGATGGTGTTCACTTTCATAGCATAAGAGCATTCTCTAGGGCAGCAGAGTATGCTGCTCATTTTGGGAAGAAGTTATGGAGTCCATAAAACACAGGGGATTGAGGGTGCCACAAATTTTCTATCGTAGCACAGTGGCGACTGGTGGATATGCACGGTCGCTGGCATTTAATCCTAATAAAATGGAGGCATTTAATGGGGTATTCTTAGACAAGTTGAAGCAAGCTGGGCTGGTTTCTGGTGTGATCGATAACTTCGATATGACTTTTCCATGGCTTTTGATAACCGTTGTAATGATGTGTACATTATGGAAGAGCTCCATTGAAGATGAAGTGGAGGGATGGTGAAATTGGACACCAATATTTGTCGACCTCATGTTAGCCCATGTGCTACTTAATGCTCTATGTGCGCAATAGTTGAAGTAAATTGTAGGTAATTGGCAATTTTTGGAAGGTTTTCTGTTAGTAGCTCTGGAAAGTAGCATTTGTGAAGCTATTGAGTTGCTGGATATTGCTACTGCCATTGCAGGCATTGTTGGAGCACATGGAGAGACAGCTTAGATGGTGCATGGAATCAAATTTTCAAGACTTTTACGTAATGGATGATATTCATTAATAGATTGATTGGCATTCTTTATTTGTTTATAAATTTATTACCACTTACAGTCTAGATAGATCCAGCCTCAGGCATGTAGATTATGAGAGTTCCACGGAATGTATTAGTGAATATGGTCATTAATAACTATGTACCAGTGCATATATTGATGTTTTGTCAATATAATGTTTGTACATAAGTTTTTAGTATCTATTGCATACCTCCACTTGTTGTTTGTTCTCAGAATCTTCAATATTTCATGTACAATGTGATTCCATTGGAGCATAATTTGGCATTTGATGCAGGAGTCACTTTTGGCAATTGATTTATGGCTTCTAAACTTTTGGATACTTGGAAAAAATCATTACACTTCTTGATGAAATACTAGTTTGTCTATTACAATCCTTCTTACTGAGGGCTCCCTTTTGGTTTCAGATTATAAAACTGTTGAACTTTGGTCTATACCTTAACTAGATGGTGTATTGATTACATTTATCTTTTCACATTTTTTTATTTTTGGTTGAAAAAAGGTAAGGATGGTAAGCAACAGATTGTCAAAAAGATACAAAAAATTTTGTGGAGTTGAGCTTTTGATGCTCTTTTAAAAAAGTTATTTATGTCATTATCTTTCCTTTTCAGTAGAAATGAAAGCATACTTTGGAGCAAGCCTATAATGACGGGAGGGATTAGTAGTAATTGGCCAATATTGATGTCAATGTGTTTGACAGATCTGCTATACTGTAAATCTCATAAATCTCCGCAAAAGCGCATCTGCATGTCTCCCAGCTCTCAATCCCAACTACAGTTCCCTTAACCAAAACACTTGGATCTAATAGAACTCACTTCAATACATACAATAGGATTCTGGACTTCAGAAGAGCCTTCAAGTCTATGCATTGTTTTTGCCCTGCTCTGTTCTAGGCCCAAAAAGCCAACTCAGTATGTTGTAAAATGGGTATAGTACATAGACCTGTTTATGCAGATTCGCTGCTGGGAAATGGGAATTGGGATCAAATATGAAATGGATAGATGGTAGGGCATGTTATCTATGGACATCAATCCTTACCGCTTGTATTGGTAATTTGGTATTCTCTGTAGTTATGAAAACTCAATAAGGCCGGATTAAATGTGTACCCTATGGTCCAGTGGCTAAACAAACATCACACTAAATGAGTCCAGAAAAGACGGCTGCCAATAAGAGTTGTGGTCCTGGAGAGAGCCCATAAAACCTTATTGGGTTTAGTATGCGCAAATCCCAATTACAATATTTTTAAATACACACCGTTCATCTCTATGCACCCAAATTAAGCTGTCAATGTCATTATCATCAGTATCTTACACTTTATCGTTTCCCCTAAGCTATATAATCTATTATTGTATGAAAACCCCAACTTCCACAGAAGTTTAGCAAAATTCCAAATTGATTCCATGGTTGTATTATTCCATATTTTCATCCTTAAAGTAATGTTATTTTTTTTATTTTAACAAATTTTCAATATTCTACTGTAGCACGATGCACATTAACACACTAAAATACATTGGTGTTTTCTTTGGTAGAATATAGACTCATGTTAACAAAAGGCAGCTCTGTTAGTAGCATCCAAGCCAATGATTTTTAGCTTTTTTGTTTGATTCTGAAGTCCAAAATCACTTCGAAACCATTGTTGAATTCCCCACAACCTCTTCTACAAAATCCATATCTTATTTGCCGACCTCACTCACCGTTTTCGATCACCTCTAATAGTCACTAACAGTATAATTTAAGGATGAAAATCTATATAAAATAATCAGGGTATGAACTTGAAATTTTGTCAAACTCCGGGGAATTTGTCCTACCTTTTGAAATGATGGTTCTTAGTATACTCAAAATTAGGTCAAATTTTTAATGTGTGTATTTAAGAATAACTAACAATATTACACATAAATATCACCCATTGATTGCTAATATACAATTAGGTTTTATCATATCATTCCTCAATTTCTGTTTAGTTTAGTTTCGCAATATGTATGATAATTTTTATTTTGTTAATGGAAATTAGATAAAACTCAATTACCCAAAAAAAAAAAAAAAAAAAGAGACATTTCGATGCGTTAAAAACAGGCAATAATTGTTTCAATTATTAGATAAATATAATTAAATAAACCCACAAGGGCCACAACTAAAAAAATTAGTAGGATAAGCTTTAAGTCGTGTAGAATGTTTGGTAAGAACATAAAAAAATAAAAAAATCAGGTTTCCAATGAGTTAAAAATGAAATAATGACAACAAAGGAGGAGGAGGAGGCAAACGTAAATTGAACTAAAAGAAGGCAAGAAGTCCCTAAAAAATAGGAAAATAAATTTAGTAATAAAGCAAAATAATGAGCGATTTAACACGCAACAAGTCTACGATCTGACAAAGCCTGTAACTAACCTCCCTTGAAGCAAAAACACACTGTTTCAAAACAACAAAACATTATAACACTACACATTTTTGTTTTGGTTCTTTGTGGTGTTGCGTGTTGGTGACCATATGTATTTCAGTGTTTAAAGAGCTTTCAAAATCTGGCAAATTTAGGAGGATTGAGAGCTCGCTTGTCCTTGAAGCAAGCAACATCCGACCTTTGTAACGAAGACGAAGACTGCAGGCCTTGGCGTCGTAGATTGTTTATGGCTTTCACCTGGGGTTCTGCTCTTCGGATCACTCTTTTGATTCTTCTTGTTGCCGCTGTTGTTTTCGCTTTTTTTACTCTCCCTGTTGAAAAGGTTTCTTTTTCTTCCGTCTTTTTCGTCATTTTGTTTGTTTTTCTGAGATGGGGTTTTTGTCTTTCTATTTAATTTTTAGGATTTCCTTTCTGGGTTTTTGGTTTTTGTAATTTTAGGGCTGGTTTGTTTGGTTCTTGTTTGTATTTGATTGATGGGTTGTTATTTTTTGAGCGCGAGTCAGAGATCAATGCTGGGAAATAAGGATTTTGCTTCTAGTTTTTTGGGCTTGATTTGCAATCCAAGTTTTTGCTTTTTGTCACGAATTTGTTTATGCAGCAGAACTATATTATTCTTATGATTAAGATTTTAGAAATTAGATTAGTAAGAAAAGGAATAGTTGCTCTAATTAAGCCATAGTCAGATTCTATTGCTGCAAATTAGTTGTATTTCCTTACGTCTTTGTTAACTCAATTGGATATTGCATACTTATACTGCTATTGAATCTCCCTTACCATTAGTGTCTTGCCGTTTCACTGATTTATCTTAGTTTATTATGCTACTTGTATAAGTTTATTTGTTCCTTACCCAAAAAAAAAAAAAAAAAACTAGAGTTGACATATATGTATACATTTTAGTTAGTCCCCATCCAAATAATGACTTAATGATACTTTCTTACTCACAGATTTTTAAAATATCATTTTACTATCCAAATTTATATTTCGGTGGCGAACAGACAACAAATTTAGTTCAGGCTATTAGAGCTTTTGAAGAGTGGAGCCGATGAGTCTTTTGGTGGTGGAAGGTTGGATTTTACTGGTTAGGATTAATCGGAATTTGACTTGGGAGGGGTGGCTACGCAAACCCTAATCACTCGATTGTCAGAGATTGACAAGGTCGACGGCAGTAGGGTTTGAGGGGTTTTGGTGAGCGATGATCGGAGAAGAGAATGGTGATGATATGAGATTGCAACGATGTCGGAATCAGAAATGAAATATAAATTTGGGTAATAAAATTGTATTTTAAAAGTCTGATAGTGGGAAATTTTCATTAAGCAATTATTTGGGTGGTAAAAAGTCGTTTACNCGAGCTTTGTTCTCCATGGTTAGGATATTATGAAGCTTAGCGATGGTGTTAGATGCCACACTTCATGGATATGTTTTATTACTTGGGCTTAAAAGGAAAAATCAGACACCTTGAATTGAAGAGGTGTTCTGTGTCCTAAGATTTGGAGAACAAGATCCACATTTGAATTTTCAGAACTTTTGGTTCATCACCTTCGTTCAATTAAACCCTGTTCTTATGCATGGTTACTAACAGTCTGTGCCATATTGTGTATGTGTAAATAGTCTTGCATAACCATATTTCATGTATGATTAGGGACATAACCTTGTTTGGAGAGAACCATACATAACCTTGTTTGGAGAGAACCATGAAAACAATTTCATTTGCTTTGTCCCATCAGCATGTGGCTTACAAGCTCATAAGTCCCACCTAACTAGTCTCCCACCCTCAAATGGTGGGGAACTTCCATGTCTAGAAAGCTTCTTTGGTTCTTGGCCCCTTAGATAAGTGCGCATTTTGGCATCTCAAGAGGTCGTATAGGTTCTGGATTTGTGAACTGCAAACGACAATGCTGGAAGTCTTACTTTATTTATTTATTTATTTTTTAAACTGTAAACTGATTTTCAGTGGTTGATATGTAGGGCTGTTGCATATATTCCTCTGACAGTTTTGGCGGTTCCAGCATCCGTGCTTACTGTAAGTATTGAACTCTAATCTGATGCTTTAGCTAGCCTTGCACCTATTCTAACTTAACTTATGTAGATTTGAATATTAGTCCCTGGAAATTGGGATAGTTTTTGAATTTTGGTCTTCTTTCAGCTTGGTGGTGGTTATCTTTTTGGCCTGCCAGTGGGCTTTGTTGCTGATTCTGTTGGTGCAGCTGCTGGTGCTGGGGCTGCATTTCTTCTTGGCCGAACTGTAAGTTTATGAACTTTGATGATGTATATGCATCTCGACGTTCCACTCTTCGATTGATAGGCAAGGTGCATGCTAGGATAGAGTGTTTGTTAATATTATAAATATTAAGCAACTGTTAATATCACTTCTTTTCTCCACTTATCATTCATTGATGCCATTAGAGTAGTCCTAATTGCTATATACCACATTTCGTTTACCTGGTGTTCATATTTTGGCATATTATTTTCTTCCTTTTCAAGTCAATTTGAGTTACATGTTTGGTATTATTATAATTTTCATTTAATTTATTTTATTCGGGTATTCTTTCACAGATAGGAAAATCATTTGTTGTTTCTAAGTTGAAAGATTATCCACAATTTCGGTCAGTTGCCATCGCCATTCAGAGATCTGGTTTTAAGGTAGATGTGCTTCATATTGGATCTTCGAGAACTGAGTTGGTGCTCTTTCTCTAGCTTGTTCCTGTGTGTTCTGTATCTTAAATATTATTTCAGTTATTTTTTCACAAATATTTCATTTTGATGCTCACACTGATGCAAGTAGGCAGCATAACTATATTTTGTAAGTGGGCTATAATTGTAGTTATTAATCTAGCCTTATAATGAATTTTGATACTGCTACATCTTAGAGGTAAGAGTTGAATAGTGAGTGCGATGAAAACTTTTAGTTACTAGACCAATAATTATATTTATAATTAAATTTGGAATTTCTCTTCTCTCTCTCTCTCTCTCTCTCTCTCTCTTGTAATTATTAATACTACACCGAAAGTTCATTTCAGAATTGAATTTTTCAGGTCTCAAGCTTCTAAAGTCAGAAAGTCCAGATGTTTGAATTTCTCCATTTTCATCCAATTGTAGTTGAATAATCTCTCTTTTATATTATAGCATATTGACTATGAGCTCTCTTTTCCTGGACTTGAAACCTTCCTCAAGGAAAAATAAATTCTGTGAGAGTGGGTTTTCAATTGCCTGTATGCATTATACTTTTTTCTTGGAAGGATCTTTATAAGACATTTCTGTTGGAATTCATTTTTGCACATGCTTGACGATTAACATTGTATTTATTACTTATCTAAAGGATTATTATTGTTGTGAGAAAATGTGGCATGTAATTGCTTGCTTTTAGGTTCTCTGTCCTTTGCATGATACTTTGCTTTGAATTGCCTATGTGAGATCTCTAAACATCTTGATCTTGTTCAACAGATTGTTTTGCTGCTTCGGCTTGTTCCTTTGCTCCCATTTAATATGTTGAATTACCTCCTATCTGTGACTCCTGTTCCAGTAGGAGAATACATGCTAGCTTCCTGGCTAGGAATGATGGTATCTTCTTCTTCTTCTTCTTTCTCCTCCTATATTTATTTAATGATTATATCCGATAATTTTGATATGTCACACCATTTTGGTTTGCCTTAATTAGGCTGTTAATTGCTTGTCATCTCTTCATAAGATGCAGTGTGCAAAACATTTATCCATTTTGAAACAATGTTGCTTTACTTTTTGGGTTGTTCTTTATGCATTATTCAGCCTAAGTGTGATTGTTGTGGGCATGCTTTAGGTGCACAATATTTTGTTGTAGAACTATAGCAAGCCTTGACTACTAGCTGAGATTAGGGCATGTGGTGCATGGTGAAATTGTTTGTCTTAGGGCAGATAAAGGGAAGGTAGGGTTTCCTTGTTCCATATGCTACACGAGCATACCACATGTCATTTATCCATTTAATACTGACAATATTCTCACAGTAGCGTGCATGGATATGTTATGTTGGGAATTTTGTGCGTATATAATGTTAGCTTAGGGGTTCAAATTTATATTTTATTGGGGTAGATATATTGGTTCAGTCCTGTAACTTTTTCTGTGCCTTGTAGTCTTAGCAGTAATGTCAAAGGCTTTTTGGAAGGAATAAGTCATCACCCGTTTGTTTCTGTCTTAATATGGTTTGAGCGATGGAGAGTTAAGAATTTGTTCTTATCAATTTGCCATGATAGTCAATTGAGCAATTTTTAATTATATTTATTTATTTCTTTTTGTGGTAATTTGTACAAATTAGGTCGTCGTGGATACTAACTAGTTTAATTGGTAAGACCTCTTGTAAAGTAGATGTTGGGATCTCATTCTTCCCACACCAGGGTTGGTAGGATTTGTTTGGATTTGGGATGGGGTCATAAGGGTTAAAAAATAAAAGGGCACTTACTATTCGAATGGAGTGCTTGTCTAGAATGACCCTCCAGATCTGTCTACATGGATGTATGTGTCTGTTTGTTGGAGTTCTTGTCGTCCCGAGTAATGATGTATATGATCCAATTTTGGTGGTTTGGAAACATTTCTAATATGGTTTCCTTTGCAGCCGATAACTCTTGCATTAGTATATGTTGGAACAACTCTCAAGGATCTGTCTGATGTGACACATGGATGGAGCGAGTTCTCTAAAACTCGTTGGGTAAGAACTGTGTACTCTTATCTTTTGGGGCAGGCTTGCAATTTTTTTTTTTTTTTTTTTAAATGGATTTGGTTCTACTTATGGTTTTCCAAAACTAAAACCGAGTTGTAGACTGACCTATTTATGCTTCTGTTCAAAAGCTGTAATTAACATATGTACTTTTATGTTTTTCAGTCAGAAGGTTCTTGAAGGGTACATTTTATATTTCATGAGTCAGTCTAAGTGGATGTGGTACTTTCTCTTTATACTGTATTCTCATATATGTTTGCACCTTTGTTTTGGATGCAGGCATTTCTCGTTTCAGGTCTTCTGGTATCTGGTATGTTGTAATATATTGCACACATACTTATTGGGCTTGTTACGCTTCCACTTGCCATATATCCGATAAACTGAATCTATTCTCTAATTTTGAGCTTTCAATAAATTCAATTGGAATTCTGATTGATAAAGTAAATATAAAACTAGAAACAAAGCGGAGAAGATGATTATAGAAACGGAAGGAAATTGTGTATGAAATAGTAATTTTCTTTCCCAAGTTGAAGTGAGCTCAAGTGACTTGTGGACAAAGTAGAAAGAGTACAAATCTTGCTCTTACTGATTTTCTTTTCCATATGGGAGATAAATAGTAGCCAGTTTTACCCATCTGAATTGCCTTATAATACTCATGCCATTGTATGTTAGTATGTCTGGAATTAAAAAAGAAGAAGATAAATGTAAATAACCCAATTTTTCTGTTGTGAGCTTCATATATTTGGCACAGTACATCGGAGAAATACAGAATAACAAAATTTTAATATTGGGTACATTTGAGTGTGAGATAATCTGAGTTTTCCTTTTTGGGCTTGTTTGCAGTAATTTTAATGGTTTGTGTTACCAAAGTTGCTAAGTCTGCTTTGGAGAAAGCTTTGGCCGAAAATGAGGATATAGATGGTGTATTTGGCTCACCGCAGTTGCCAATTGTGGGTGAAACACCCGTGGATCTCAATCAACCTCTCATAATCAAGATAGACCATGTCGACGACAATCATGAAAAATGAAAAATCTCAAATTTATGTGTAAATTCTACCGTTCTCCTTTTGAAAGTTATATGCTAAGCATATGGTGATTGCCATTTATGGTCTGTACAGTTGCTTTGTTCACGAATGTAGTAGTTTTGAAAGAATTAGCTGACTACACAGTTATGTATCATTTAAGAGTAGCTTATATCTGCAATTTAAAACCAGTGAATAATAAAATTAATTTATTAATTGTTTTCAAGTGCATCATGCTTTAGATTTTATAATTTGCTATTGAGAACTTAACTTTAATTACCTTCGTGTCCTGCACTTTCTTCAGAAGAATATGGCTCTGGCTTCTGTTTGGAGGAACCGCTCTGTTTTGCTATTAGATTGTGCTCATTGGGAATGTTAATTCTCATTTGGTAACTGCAGCTTTGTTTCATGAAAGAAGAAATTTAAATTATCCTCATGAATTGAGATGTAAACAAGGTGCCTTTTGATAATCCTGACATGTGCTGTCTCATCATAACTTTTGCTGAGGGTCATATAAATTGATTTTCATTTACCTTTCTGACCAAACTGTGGCCTCCAAGAAGAGGATAGAATTATCTTGCTGCAGAAAATGTGCAGTTGTTAGGAATTAGCTGATAATGTGGGTCCTGGGCCCTCCGGTAATTGGGTGGTGGTTGAGTTAGTGAATGGTAGGTTTCACTGCTTAGAGGCTTCAAGCAACATGAACAGTAACTTAAATTTCATGGTGGGAACTGGGAAGGATTATACTAAGGTAGGTATTATATATATATATACACAAATGAGCTGGATTATACTAATTGACACTATATTGAACAAAATAAAATGCTTTCATATTCCACCAATCAGATGGTGCGATACAGAGAAAGTGCACTTAAATATAGTAAAGTTGGAGCTAATTTTCAGGGGAGAAAAAAAGAAAAAGATTTTGATTCAAAACTTAGGTAGGAGTAAATCAAAAGTAATTTTAATGATAAAAGGGGAAGCAATATAATGTCATAATCATCATGAATCTTTGAATGGATTTCGGAGTGCTATTGGTATCTTTTTTTTCCTTCCCAAACAAACGAGGGTAAAGTCAATTGGTAGCATTTTATTTATTTCTGTTACCATCACTTCTTTATCACTGTCTGCTAAATGTTGAAATTTGGGAGGGTTGTTAGGGACCTACCAATTTCTTTAGTGAAATCCTTAGGCAAGGTATATCTCATATGGCTCAACCCTTCATATACGTTTCATGGATTCCAATACATCAGGATTTTATATACCATCTGATCTTCCTATTGAGTGGACCAAACCTGATGATGACACCCTTTGACACTATTGATGCCGTGAGTCTATAAATGGACTAGAAATAGTAGTGAAATGATCTCTAATTACAGAATGCATCTGCTTGGAAAGCTGAAGGTGACCAAAAACATTGAGTCTTATACAGGGAAAATTCCAGGATTTGGTATTTTTCCTTTCGGTGGGTGCTTTGATGGGTGTCGTGATCACACTCAGGCTTCAGGATTTGGCACAAGAATCTGGAACCTGAGTGACAGGCCTGTGGAATTGCAAATAAGGGTGGGATCAATACTCAAAAAGGTTCATACACTGAAGCCTGGTTCTTCAAAAAGGCTGAAATGCAAGAGCATATACAAGGCTCATATGCCGGGTAAGAGTGGGAGCTCGAGTGCTCACAGCGGTACGAAGAGCTTTTTATATTACTATGATGAGACTTGTCACCCTTATATTTGGATAAATGACACTGGTTGTGATTCATTAAGGATGGTAAAGCAACAGTATATCAGTCTGGAGGACCTGAGGGATTATTCTGAGATCAGAATTTTCAGGGATCATCAAAGAGGCTGTGTATCAGTTCGCAAAAAACCAAGGCCGGATTTTTGCTGAACTCTTGTTTGTTATTTATTTATTTTGGTAAAGGAATTGATGGGTTGTTTTTTTTTTTTTCTTCCCTTTTTAACTTCTTCAACCTTTGATCTTAATTTGGTTTGCCTTTGCCATTATGCAGTATTGTAGCTAGTATTAGCTTTTGGATCTGTTTTTCACAGTTTAGTCCAATTATCTGGAAACACTTTATATGCTATATATTGGAATTGGACTATCATATTGTGTTTGTAACCATTTTTGACAGAGTTTTGACTGTTGAAAATGGAAGTGATTAAGTTACATTTTTGTTCTACTCTTTCTTCAGCTTGTCTTCAGTTGAGCTATTGTTTTTATTTAGATTCTGAAGCTAATTGTGCCATGGATCCCTGGTAATGCTTTGGTGATTAAGAAAATTTCCCTTAATTATGATTCAAAAATTGGTTGACCATTAAGAGTTAATTTTACATAAATTAGAGGTTAGACTAAGATATTTTAGCATCTATAAATTCGGCTCATTTAATCCATCTGATAAAAAGTACAAATAATGAAGCATGTTGCTTGTATGGGAAGAAAAGATGACAAATTATGACCATTAAAATGATTCCTAACAAAGGGTTAATAGCAAGTTCGGGTGATAATGGAGCTTTTTTTTTAATTATTATTATTATTTTTTTTTTTTTTTTTGTGTGTGTAGGTGTGTTTTTCTTGATAATTGGAATGTTCGGAGTAGTTTATGTACACTTCAACTAATCTTTTTACAAACTCATTACTTTTGTAGGACTCGAACACAAAACTTCCGAATAACTCAAAGTCTTGCCGTTTGGCCACACTTATGTGGTTACAAAGGTGTTTTTATAACTAAGTATTTTCTTTTTCCTCTTCAAAATTATCAAAATCTTGTTGTCATATTGGAAATTAAATACATTAATCCCATTTCATACAACTACAAATATATTCAAAAATACTAAAACCTATCAAAATAGATGGGATTTTTATTGAATTAAATTGAATAAATTAAAATGAACTGGGTCACTGATATAATGATATTAAGATGTTAAATTTATAAAATATTATAAGCTAAGCTAATGTTACCTATAATTTAAGGCATTCTTCTTCTTCTTTAATGTTATACAAACTAAATCAAATGAGATTTTGTTTCCAATAAAAACAAATTTTTCTTATGTTAATAAACATGGGCAGATTCCAATTTTTTATTTTAATATTAAACAAAATTGAATATATCAACCAAAAAAGCCTATAAATTTATTAAATTCATTTGATCACGATCCAATGGATTTGATCGATTACTAAATAGGAAAAAAAGCTAAATATCAACCCCCCGCCCGCACCCACCCCCCCTCACGTTTACATTAATATCACTAAGACCCTTATAAGTAGTGGAAAACTCGTTTACCTGCTTAAGAGTTTGTGAAGTCTGTACCCACATCTCTTAGCTCAGTTAACAGATAATGAAAAGGTTAACTGAAAGCATGGAATATTCAACATAAAATCATGTGTTTCACAATTATCTTTGAAATATAACTCATTTATTACACAATTGTTTTTAATGTATAAGTGAATTATCTTTATAACAAACTTTTGTTACGATGTATGTTTAGAATAGACACGGTATAAAACAACAAATATAACACCCTTTAAAATATTAAACAATGACAGACCATCGTGATCACTTATTGACACAATTAAATACTTCATTTAACGTTGAAAACTACATAAAGAAGTAGATCAAAAAACAACTAATGTAATAAGAGGTGGACGATCACTTGTCGTTCAACGGAGAAGTATAATGTCAATTTAGCTTATAAGCAAATACGTCTAGATTTTTTTGACATTCTTTCAGTCAACAATTATTTTAGAATATTGACTAACACTTCTCGAATCGTAAAGCATAGAGAGGTGCATGTTTCTAATCTATTTATTTTCTTTCCTTCTTTTTTTTTTTGTTTTTTTTTGTTTTTTAATTAATTTAAGCCTTGCAAATTGCCTTCCTATCACCTGCTTAGTTTACCTCTATCTTTAGTTAACTAAGCTCTAAGAAGGTGAATCATGAATGCATAATTCATAAGAACTCAAGGGAGGTGAGTTAGTATTTACAATATTCATATGGATTTAGGTGAAAAGAATGTAAAATAAGGGAAGGTTGTGATAATAACCAAAGAAAAATGAGCCTGTTCAAGAAACAACTCACGATTTGGATGGAGATTTCTTAATTTTCTTAAGCCATTAAAACAGCTCAGTTATATAAAGAAAAATGTCAATGGCAAGAGAAGAAAAAGGAAAAGTCATAGCGTGTGTTTCTGATATGTCGAACAGTCTTCAATAGTCTTTCTTCAACAACACAATTTTTTATTTTTACTAAAGTCTTCACCTTTCTCTTCTCTACCAGCAAACCAAACAAACCAAACCTCTCTGTAAATCAACCAAACAAATTATGGGAATTTCGTGGAGTAGCAGAAGAAGAAACAACCATCATCACCACCATGGTCATTATTTAGCACCACCGCCTCCACCGCTTCCGCCGCCACTACCACCTTACCACGAACCCTCTTTGTATTCCACCCCAAACCCACCTCCACCCCCACCGCCTTATGCTCCACCCCACAATCCTTATCCTGCTCCCCCACCCCCACCACCTCCGCCACCGGTTAATTCTTATTATTACAATTCTCACGGTGGCTACAATTCTTGTAATTATGCAAATCCCGTGATGGGCAGGTTCAACTACCAGTTTCATTACCAGCCTCCTTATTACGCGAACCAGGCCCATGGATGGCCCACTAACAGGCCTCAAGTGGGCCCACCACCGCCTTATGTTGATCATCAGAGTGCAAAGAAGGTGAGGAATGATGTGAATGTTCATAAGGATACGTTGAAGATTGAAGTGGATGAGCAGAACCCGGATCATGTCTTAGTTTCATTTGTATTTGATGCCATGTTTGATGGGAGGTTAGTGATTTCTTTATAGATTAATCTGATTCTTTTTAAAATTTGCTTTTTTCACTTTTTTTTTTTTTTTTGGTGACCTTGGTTTAGTGGGTATGTTGAATTATTGAATGTATTGGATTGTTTATGAGTTGTGAAGCTGTGATCTTTAATCTTAAAAAGTTACTGTTTGGACTTGATTATACTAATTTGTGTACATTGATAGAACTGCCTGTGGATTATTGAATTGGGGTCTCTTGATTTCTAGGATATGTAAACTATAAAAAGAGAGAGCACCAATGAAGGAGTAATCCAGTAATGACATATAACTGGATAGCAGGAGCTATGGCAAGTTATAGTAACTAAGAAATTATCAGATAATTATTTGCATTATTCTCATCAATGGAAATTGCTTTATGCACTATGCCGCAAGTGTAGCATTTATAGTATTTGTTTTTCTGATAATTATTTTGGGAGTACGAGTGACACTTTAGTCTCTCAGATGATGTATGTATTAATAGGGAACTACAGAACAAATGAGTCCTGTCACCTTATGTTGTAGTTTCTCTCATGTTGAATTTGGTGTAAGTAAGAGTGATGATAGCTGTGCCGAACAGAGAAGATTGGAAGTGAGACACGATTTAATCAGTGTCAGAAAATTATTTTCTTTCTCCAAATTAGTTGAGCAATAGTTAGTGATTTGACTTCTCCTAAGTAATGTATGAAGATCGTATCCAAGCACTTGGGAAGGCATAATTGAGGTGCTGTGGCATATGAGTAGCACCTGCACCATAACGCTGGCCAGCTCAAATCTTCATGCCATATCATGTGTATGGTTTGAACTAGTTGCATTATACATATTTACATACAAGTTAACTAATTGAAACTCTTAGGGAGGATGTAAAGAAATATAAATTAGGATTCGAGTTGAAGAGGGCTTTCTTGCAGCAATATTTCACCTATAAAGCGATGTGCACGGGTATGATTAATTTTATTGTCTACTTTTAGCACTTGGCATGGCAATTCAATTTAAGAAGGGGAAGTTTGAAACATAACTAGGATAAGCCTGGCTTAAGAAAGGGCTTCAAATTATGGGATGCTCTTTTCCATCTTGAGTGATTACAAGCAAACCCACTTTATTTGGCCAGTCTGTGTGGCTTAGGGCAGGGGACAATTACTGCTACATGATTATCTATTCCTGTATAGTTAAGCCTAAAAACATTGGAATCAAAGCTTAACTGATGCCTAACCCTTTTTATCACTTTTCGATGTTATATACCTCACCAGGAATTTAGGGCAATGCTTAAGTTATATATCAGGTTAACTCTTAAATATGGTAGTCTCTCTGAGAGTTTCAGTTTCTAGGAATGTATTGCCTGCTTAAATTAATTTTTGGACAGTGTATTTGATCTCCTGGATGTTCTTGCTTGGAAAAATGGTGACTTCACATTCCAACATGCTGGTTTGTGTCATTGTTGCATAAAGAAACTTAATGGATCTTTCCATTAGCTCACTTTATTATTACCCTATCCTTGCCATGTCAGAATATGCAATTTCTGTAGTATTTATTTGTTTATGTCAATATTAGCTTTCTGGTCAAACTGATAAAAGTTTAGAAAATTACCTTTAGTTGAGTTCATATTTTCTGTTCATACATGGCAGAAATCTAGTTCAAACTGTTTTCAAAACAATGTTTTGTGGCAAAATTCTTGGATCCTGATAAGATTGTCTATGCTATGCTGTGATGCTGCACGAAATGTGCAAAACATCAAGGTGAAAATCAGATAGCTCATGGTACTAGCAGTTTCATCGTAGTTATTTCCTTTACTATCTGCTAATGCTTACAAAGTGATTGAAATGAGCTTTTGACACCATTGTAAAGCTTTTTCATTGATAAGAAATCCAGTGGTCTCAATCAAACCTGTCACATATGGACCATTGTGATTGTGAATGCATTTTATAAAATGTTGAGAAAAATGGCCTGTTTTCCTTATTTGGAAGTATAGATGAGTGTACTAGACACAGAACTCCATTATCCTTTATTTTTCTGCAGTCTTTCCAAGTGGCTTTTTTCTCCTAAAAGGAACTATATCTTTCATCTCTGGCAGATTCATGAATCTTTCTAAGAAAGTAAGAAAATCGTTCTGCTTCATCACCTCCTCAAACAGAAAAAGGGTGAAATTTGTGCTCTAAGACTTTATTAGATACCAATTTATATCTTTATAACTATTGCCTAGCTTATCATTTCTGTCATTTCTACTGTCTGTTGCATATTCCCTTACGTCACATGGTGCTCCACATTGTTGGAGTGTTTTCTACCACATAAGGTCTATACCTGTAAACATGAAGGTGAATTCATTTTTTTTCTCCCTGGCTGATTGAAGGGATATTGTTGGTGGGATTCAATTTTAGAAGGTGATTTCATGGTGATCTATATCCAAATTGTCCATCTACCTTTATAGAGAGCTACATACATGGTTGTGTGAATGTGTTTGCTTTTTTCTTCTCAGGTGATTGAAGGGATATTGTTGGCGTTGTGTTGCATAAACTAATTATGTTTGTTCTCTCTCTGGACTATCTCTGTGGTTATGATTATTTGCATTAGTTTTTCTCAAATTTGTCTACGATTATGCATGTCTTTCCATGTGATTCCCTTAAAATCGTGAGATGTTGGTTACTTATAGTTTGACGAGCGTTATCACCACCTCTCCAAATGATCAGATAGTCAAGGTCTTCAACACTCTAAATGAAAGACCACATATGATCCAAATGTGGAGAATGATTGTACAGGAGGCTTGTAGTTGGTCACAGGGACTTGGCTTATCTTTAGAAGTTTAATACTATATATATACGTACAATCTATGGAACCTTCTGGAACTTAAAAGCAAAAATTATATGATCCCATTGGGTACATAATGGAAACAAGTTTCAGATGAAAAGCTGCATGTTGATTTGATCAATAATCTATATGTTTGAATTACTGTTATTGTAGTTTAAGAGAAAAAAAGCTTTTTTATTTTTAAAACATTACTTACATAATGGATTTTTTTATATAATGTCTTTTCTCTTGTTTTCTTTCCTATTGACAGCATCACTATTTTGTACTTTGCTAAGGAAGAGGCAAATTGTCGGTTTGTTCCGCTGTTTCCCGAAGCCTATGTGCCAGTGAGAGTTCCCTTTAAGAAAGGACCGGGCCAGAAATTTCTTCAGCCTTCAGGGACAGGCATTGACTTAGGCTTCTTTGAATTGGATGATCTCTCTAAACCATCACCAGGAGAAGATGTATTTCCTCTTGTAATATCTGCTGAAACAAATACGCCATCAACGTCCACCGATGAACATTTCAGTGATCCCGAGCCAAATACAGCTCCTCATACGCAGGTCACTCAAGTTGTTCTAGAAAAGAATAATGATGCTTCATTCCAAGCAAAAGTAATAAAGCAGATATTGTGGGTTGATGGGGTTCGCTATGAGTTACGTGAGATATATGGAATAGGAAGCTCAGCAGCCGAGGGTTTTGATGACAGTGACCCAGGGAAGGAATGTGTGATTTGCATGACTGAACCTAAGGATACTGCTGTGCTACCTTGCAGACACATGGTGAGAGTCCACCTTAACTACTCTGTACTGAGTATCATTTCATGCTAATGCTTTTGCACAAACAATATTAATTAGGGAGATTAAGCCAGCGTAGTTAGTCAACAGATTATTCTAGATGTGAGAACTAATATGAGGATTGGAATATTGATTTATTTAAGTGTGCCCTGGAATTAGTTCTGAGCTGGGTTATTGTTTTTCTGGTCTTTTTTAATCACAAAGTAGCTGCAGATCTAGTTTTTAAAATACAAGGACAGAAAATTGTGTGTATATATGCATGCACATGTGGTGACTATGTACTAAGTCTTCGGCAGAGAGTTAGATGTCTATTTCAATAATGAGGAGCTATTAAGCATAGCGATTAGTTGCTATTTTAGCATTAAAAGTTTTCAAAAATTTCACCTCTTGCTCACTAACTGAGTCCCTGTGGAAATACATACCTCAGCATATAACAATTTCAAGCTAAATAAGGTGTTCTCCTATCCTCAACTTGTATGTAGTTCTTTAAACCAAGTATTTAACTCAAATTGTTTATATCGTATCTTCCAGTGTATGTGCAGCGAGTGTGCAAAGGCATTGCGGCTGCAGTCAAATAAGTGCCCCATATGCCGTCATCCCATTCAGGAACTTATAGAGATCAAGATAAATAGTGGTGGTGATCAATGACAGATTTTTATATCAAGTTTGATTGTATGGTATGAGTATTTAATTCTTTATGTTTGTAATGTGTCTTTCCCAGCTCTTTATGCATATAATTTTTTTGTATATTTCAATCATATATAACAGTTTTTTAACTTCTATGTGACATCCATGTGAAATCTAATCTTGCAAGGATGAAATGTAACAGTTAGTGTGTTTGTGCATGAGAATCTATGACTGAAACTATAGCTTTCAAATCTTCAATATTCACTCAATCAGTGTGAATCTTTAACCATCTTCAGTATCTTGGGTGTATGCATTTATTCATTTCTTTTGAAGAAAGTAAGGTTTTGAGCCACAGAGTTAATAACTAAATAAAAGTTTGCATCAGTTGGGGCAACCCTCTTTTTGTAAAAAATAAATAAATAAATACCAGTGAGGTGGAGGAATAATCTTTTCCCTGCTTTCACCGAATTTTTGAAGTTTTCAAAGAAAAACTTAAGTTAAATTGTCAATGCAAATTATTTTGATATCTTTGCTTTTTCTTTATACTCCTGACCTGTTCCTTTTTGATAAGTGGGTAAACCTGACTTTCCTTGGTTGAATTTTCAAATTATGTATTACAAATACATGTGATTAGTTGTTGAAAAACAAAATGAGAGAGGTTGTAGCTTGTAAGGCTACTTAGATAGGATGAACATTCTAGGTCTGAAGTACTTTTTCCCCTTGGGCTAACGCCCAAAAAGAGAGTTTTAGAGGGAATATTTGCCATTGAAGTTAACAATAGGAGTAGGGGGACAATCTAAGAATCTTCAAAGCTTGGATGTGCCTTTGAGAAGATGTTACCTTTGAATAGATGAGGATGCAATGAGACTAATCATATTTTGGATCTTACTGAATATCTTTTCCATATATGGATACTCTTTTATTGCTTTACCAGAAGAATCGTAGAAGTGGTTTCTCTCAAATTGCTTCTGGTTAATTTGTACCAAACTCTGGTTTGAATTCATGTCTAGTTCAGCTTGTTAAATATGAAGTTTCAGGATACCAAATGATTCATGTACCTTTATTACAGTCACTTGAGAGATGTTTCATTTCATTTCATTAGCATTACATCACCTTACCCCATTACTTGAGCATAGTCCAATTTCATAGAACTTGCAAAAAATTTAACATGAAGTAGCGAAAGCTGTCATAACCCACATGCTTGCTGACTTCTTTTAGACATGTATACAGCAGTGTTAGATTGATAGTGAAATCCACAAGGATTGTTTGGGTAGTTTTCTGAAATTCGAGTAATTGTGGCCATGTGATGAACCATTCCCTCTGTCATTAAGAGTTTGGCAATGCACATTCAGTGTAAACACCCACATTTATTTTTTGATTATGTCGTGACTTTCTTCTGCTAAAATTCTTGCAGTTACAAAGTAAAAACATAAGATTGCAAACCAATTTTAAGAAGATGAAAAGTTAATTTTGTGCTCTGTATACTCACAAGTAACAATGAATCAACACCTCTTCTTAAAATTTGACATCATGTGAAACATGGTGCCCTACTTGGGCTGTGTCTCTAGCTGGCATCTATGTATCTCTGCCTCTGGTTATGAATATGAGGCTGTGGACGATGATCTGAGATTTTATGAGATAGGTTTATTGAGGGATAATCCAGAAAAGCCATTCCTGCACCAAGTTCTTTTTTTTGTCATCTTTTAGTACTTATTTTTAGTGGAGAGAGTAAAATAAGAGTTTTTTTTCCCTTGAAGTCAAAAACTTACGAGGATCTATAGCTGCATTATTATTTCCCAATTCACGTTAAAACTCGAGCTATAACCAGTAAAGGGCATGTGAAGATGAGATGAGGCAGTTCATAATAGAAGGCCATGTCCCCTCAAGCTGTATTTTCTTGGCTCATCGATCACTATCCAGGGACCATGTGGTATTCATGTGATTGTGATGCCATCATCATAAATGGCAATGCCTATTCCTATTCTCTTAAACAACTATACAGACAAAAAAGGATGTCACCTCAAAATCAAAACTAGTTATCCCTCGTCAATTTCGCCACCATTGACACAAACCAACCTACTCAGTTCATCTTAAAGCTTAGACATAACATAACCCATTCCCAACGTATTCACTTTAAATTTAAAAGTGGGTTTGAGCAAAAAAAGTCACACCTTATAAATGAAGTAACAAAAACATGATTAGTGATGTTCTATATGTATCTATTTCTAATCATTATACGACTGGAAATCGTGACATATTCATAAAGTTTGATCAAAATTTTTGTTCTGAAATAAAACATAGTGGTGGGAAGGAAGAATATTAGATGGGTTATTTTAAGTAGAGAAGGAAAGGCGTTTTGTTTAGTTCCTTTTTCGCAATTGAAATGGCTTTATTGTTTTAAAAGCAAAGTGAGATGTCCAAAGGGGAAAAAAGAAAAATAGAGACAGAAACAAAGGCAGAAGTTTTGATGAGGGGGTTAGGCTTTTAAGAAGAAGAAGAAGAAGAATAGTCGTATAAACGTGAATTAGCTAGAGTTTTATGGTAGCTTTCATGCCTAATTCTTGCTTAAAAGTAAATCATATGATTGCAGAACATTCACTGTTGTCCACTTTCTTTTTGTAAAGTTGCATTAAAACAACTATTCACATGCCAATGCCATTCTTTCAATAGTCCTTCCTTGTACATCAAAGTTGTAGCAATATGGAATGCATAATGAAATAGATTGATGTTATATTTTTGCATACAAAAGATGATACCGATAATGGTAAAGGATGTGAAGTACCCATTTGTACATTTGTCAATTTAACATGTGACCAAGATATGCAATTAAGGGTAATTTCACAAGGATGGGACCTTTAAAAGGGGACATTGTCACATTATACTTCTTATTTTGTTCCATTATTGCATACTTCTATTCTATTCTACAAAATAAAATTGATGCCACTTCTTTCAACCTTTTACTATTTCACAATAGTATATAAATTATTTTTTACTTTCATTTGAAGACATTGTACGGGAATCTCGGAAGCTCATTATTGAATAGGTTTATTATACATTCAGTCGAATATTCTAAATTATTAATTATAAAGCTAGAAAAAATAATTTAGCTGAATTAATTAAGCATTTATTTGCCCAAACAAAAGATATAGAAAAGGAGATGTATTTGATTAATCCTCAATTAACAAGTGTTTAAACTTGTAATGGATACTAAACTTCATTGACAAATTTCATACTAAATAGTAATCATCAAATCAAATAGACATTATACATGATTAAATTGTAAAGATTACAACCAAATTTACTTTGAAGAAAAGCAAATATTCAATCATATTTCTTTGAGAAAACCCAAATGTAGAGCCAAGAGGAAAGTTGGGTACGAGTTTCTAAGTTTAAGTCCCTTTAAGTGGGTTTTTTAATTGTTCAGTAATTTTGGAGCTCCAAAGAGAATTAATTGGGGTAGTATAAACTAAAACTAACTCGGATTAAAACAAAAAAACGTTGAGTTGGGTTGAGTTGAGTTAAGGCAAAATGAGGTAATGTAGGGAAACAGTGGAAATTAATAATTTACAGGGCAAAAGCTAAAATAGAAAGACCCCATTAAATGACATTATTAAATATTGGAGAGAAAATCTGACACGAGTCATTCACATCTGCTGATAATAATTATGAAATCTGAGCAGCTCATCATTATTTATTATCCCCCATTACTCACTTTCCATGGTGAAGATGTAAATTAAACTCACCCTTTACCCAGTACCTATCCACACTCAATAACTTTTATCTTCTACTTCACCCTAATTAATTTTTAATTTAATTTAATTTAGTTTAGTTTTGACATTAATTATAATTTTTAATTAAATTACATGAACATATATTGAGTAGCTTGTATAATATCTAAAATGGGCTTCAAAAATACTAATAAATAAACCCCCTTAAAGAAACGTTGAAGAAGCTTTGTTTGCAAACACCCTATCCCTGCCATCTCTTTTTACCTTCTCTCTTCTCACTCTCTTTCTCTTTCTCCCTCACCCTGAAATAAGGAAAGCAGAATCACCAGAGAAGTTTCAATGTCCACCCCCTTCTTCTAAAAACCTTCTCTTTTCTCTCTCTCTTCCTCCAAGTTTTCAACTTTGTTTCTTATTTTTTTCTCTATACCCAGTTGATCTTCTGTTTTTCAGTGAGCTAATTAAGCTTGGAATACACAAACCATTGTCAAAGTTACATTGTAAATTCATCTTCTGTGGTTTAGTGGCTCCTGTTTCTCAGATCTACTAGCATTATCAACTATTGTTTTCTTTTCGGTTATTATACCTATCTGTTGGTTTTATTTGAGTATCTAGAAAGAAAGAAAAAATGAGTAAAGAAGAGTTTATGAAGATTCAGGTAATTTGTTTTCTCTCTTCACTTTCTTTGCCATCTATCAACTCAACAGTTTACACTTGTTTCTTTTCTCAAAGCTTTCTAATCTCCCATTGCTCTTCTCTTTAAAGTTTTTTGTTTTTGTTTTTCTATTTCAATGATACTTTTCTTGACACTGGGTTTGTTCTTTGGGTTGCTTGTGCATGCAGACTTGTGTCCTGAAAGTGAACATACACTGCGATGGATGTAAGAACAAAGTGAAGAAAATCTTGCAGAAAATTGATGGTACCGCTTCTAATCTTCCAAAAGAAATATATATATATATATATATTTTTTTTTTTTTTAAGGATAGTTTACGGATTTGCATGTCTTGAATTCGTAATGGTTTTGTAAAGCTTTAGTCGTATGTTAAATTTGGGTTTGTTTGATTTCTTTCAGGGGTGTTCAAAACCACCATTGATGCAGAGCAAGGAAAGGTGACAGTTTCAGGAAACGTAGACCATAATGTTCTGATTAAGAAGCTTCAGAAAGCAGGTAAACATGCTGAGCTATGGGGTGCACAAAAGCCAAACAACAACCAACTAGCGAACCAGTTCAAAAACATGCAACTTGACAATGGCAAAGGTGGTAACAACAACAAAGGCCAAAAGGGTGGTAATAATAACCCGCCCAAAGGTGGTGGTGGTGGTGGTGGTGGTGGAGGTGGAGGCGGCCAACCGAACCAGCAACAACTTCAGCAACAACTGCAGCAACTCCAGCAAATGAAAGGCTTTCAAGATCTGAAGCTCCCTCCTTTTAAGGACATGAAGATGCAGATGCCTATGAAGGACCAGAACCCGAAGGGTGTCAAGTTCAATCTTCCTGAGGACGAAGATTTGAGTGATTATGATGATGATGATGAGTTTGATGATGACGAATTTGATGATGAGTTCGATGATGAATTTGATGAACCCCTTCCTCCAATGAAGAAACCTATTATGGGTAATGGTCAGCAGGGTATACCTAATAACATCATGATGATGATGAATGGGAATAATCCCCAGCTCATGAATGCTCAAAAGCCTCCTCAAAATGGTGGTGCACAAAATGGTAAAAAAGGAGGCCCTGGCGGTGGGGGAGCTCTTCCTGTGCAGGTAAATATGGGTAACAGTGAGGGTAAAAATGGAAATGGAGGTAAGAAAGGTGGTGCTGGCGGCGGCGGCGGCGGTGGGAACAATCAAAACCAAGGTGCCAAGAATGGTAAAAACGGTGGTGGTTTCCCTCAAAATGGTAATAATGGTGGCGGTGGTGGCGGAGCCAACAATAAGAATGGTAATAATGGGGGTGGTGGTGGTAACGGTAACAACATGATTGGTAATGGGGGCAAAAAGGGAAATAGCGGTGGCGGAATAGGTGGTATGAATGATGGGTTCCATAACATGGGTGGGGCTGTACCTCAAGGTATGATGCCCAACGCTAAGATGGGTCAAATGGGTAGCATGCCAATGGGCCAACAAATGGGTAGTATGCCAATGGGTCAAATGGGCAACATCCCAGCTGTTCAAGGCCTTCCGGCTGCTGCCATGGCTGGTGGTGCCGGTGCAGGAGGAGGTGGTGGGTACTTTCAAGGAGCCGGGCCGGATCTCATGCCGGGTAACCCATATCACCAGCAGCAACAACAACAACAGTACATGGCTGCTGTAATGAATCAACAACGTGCAATGGGTAATGAAAGGTTCCAGCCCATGATGTATGCAAGACCACCGCCTGCAGTGAATTACGTGCCCCAACAGCCTTACGCTCCATACCCGTATCCCGCCCCGCATCCATACCAACCTCATGATCCATCTTATACTCACTTTTTCAGTGATGAAAACACCTCAAGTTGCAATGTTATGTGAAGAAATTATTGGTCAAGTTTTCTCTATAAGTTTGTGGTGGTTCTGGTTCAATTATAGTTGAAGGATTAGAAGTTTGGTCATGCCATATTATACATGGAAATGGGTTTTCATTTTAGTTATAATTTTCTTTCTTTTTTGTTTTAATTTTTTTTCTTTTAATCCTAAGTTGAATTAGGGGTTTTAAATTATGATAGGGGAGTATTTATTATATATAGATAATTATATTAAAAGTCTGGCTAGGAGAGGGGAGGGAGTGTAGGCTCTTTTAATGACAATGTTTATATGTGTTTATATAATGTTGCAAAACAAGAAAATAAGATATAACATATAGAGAATGGGGTAAAAACAGAACCCTTCTCTCTGCCCATTTCTCTCCCAAAATTTTATCCTATTTTAGAAACTACTTCTTTCTTGTTACAATCCATTTCCATTCTACTGCTTGTTTTGTGTTGTGTTGTGATAATCATGGAGACTTGTGAACTGTGGGCCCTATATTATTAGTTGGACCCCGCTTTTCCTGTGCGAGTGCGTTTGGTATTTTGACTATGGTCCCACCATTTTTAAAAATAAATAAAAATATTAATTCAAGAGCGTATTATTTCATCTAATAACTCACTCTCCCTCTGCATCAGTAACCGTAGAACATGTTGACAAAGACAACCTAACAACTTTTCGCTTGGAAAATCTAACGGCGTTGACACCTTTGACATATATTCTGGTAAATCGTCGGTCTAGTCTAATCAAACTAAAGACCAACATCTTCAAATCACAGGTATTTTACCATGGTGTTTGATTGGGCACGTGACGATCAACGATGGTGATGGCCCCAGAAAGCTCATCATGCATCTTGTCTAATCAAAACATTTGATAAGATATGGGGTCCATAGCAGTACTTTTCTCAAAAGTACTTCTCTGTTTTCATAGACATTTTATTTTACATATACGATTCTCTACAGTAACATTTTTGCTTTACAGAGCAGTAGACATTGTGATGGGATTTGATTAGATGAAATTAGGTTGTATGATTATAAGTTGTGGATATGTTTTCGACTCATAAGATTTAGTGGACCCATGTTATGTATTTGCTTACGCCAAGTTGTTGTATGCAATTCAGGCTTCCTTGCACGGGTGCTGTAGCCCTGAGACAACATTTAATGTTAGTAGCTCGAGATCCAAAATTTACTTACGCTGTTTGGTCACGAATTTAACACTATTCCTACTCTCCATTACTCTTTTAAGCTAATCCAATGTTACCAAGGAAGAAGAGGACACGTGGAAGGAGGTGAGGAATCACATGGGAGATGGGTGTCTGTGGGGTTTGTTTGGGATTTACATGGGTGTGCTCTGTCATTCACACTGTACCATGTGTTGTGGTTTAACAAAACTAACATCCTCGTTTTTCTCATTTTCTTTTTATTTATTTAATTTGTTTTTACACTCAATTTTAATCATGCTCAGTAGTTGAGAAAATGGGTAACTGAAGGTTAAGTCATGCAATGCATGTAATTTGTGAATGATAATGCAGTAAGCTTTAAGCATATTTTGGGGAGAAAAACCAGGGAGTTTCAGACATTAATTTAGGAGAGTTTTACCAATGATGATGAAGCACACTTTATTTGATTTTTTTTTTTTTTTTCACTTTATTTCTTTTTTGGGCCCTTATTTTTGACTATAAAGGAATNTTTAATTTATTTTTACACTCAATTTTAATCATGCTCAGTAGTTGAGAAAATGGGTAACTGAAGGTTAAGTCATGCAATGCATGTAATTTGTGAATGATAATGCAGTAAGCTTTAAGCATATTTTGGGGAGAAAAACCAGGGAGTTTCAGACATTAATTTAGGAGAGTTTTACCAATGATGATGAAGCACACTTTATTTGATTTTTTTTTTTTTTTCACTTTATTTCTTTTTTGGGCCCTTATTTTTGACTATAAAGGAATCAAAATTTTAATACTTTCACGTGGACCCTCGCTTCCCCTTCCATCCATTCATTAAAATCCTTCTTTCAGTTTTCTGAAAAACAGTCTTCAATCTTACACCATCTCTTCAACTAAATATCTGGGGAATTTGATGTAAATATAAAAATTAATAGAGGTTATTTAGTAAATTGGTAATGGGGATAGATAATAGATCCAAATAATTTTCAATGGCCGAGATGACTTGTAGGGTCCACCTGTATCCCTTGTTGGGTTTGCTGAGCAGAACAATCCATTCAGCTGGGGCCCGCCCAGTTTCACGAAAAAAGAACAATCTCAATTTTATGAAAAGTACGAAAACACCGCTAACGGAACAACAAACTCCGTTAAGTGTATTATTACGATAATTACTAAGTTAAAAAAAAGTAAAGCAATAGTTGCAAGTTCGTACCATCGAACCTTTAAACAAATCCAAATATCTCCACATCGAACGGCGGAAAGGACTTCCTACTTGATTCTCCTCTGTTCACACGCACACCCTACATTACCGTACGCCATCATAGACTCTTTTCAAAATTACCACATTCTCCTCGCCTTTGCCTAACACTTTTCCCTCCATATTTTCTCTCTATCTTCGTTTTAAATCACTTTCTCACGCTCCAAACAGTACTTGGTTTTGATCTGCGTACAAGAATTCTAGTATTAAGTGAGAATGTAGAAGCCTAGAAGGTGAATGGTGATGGTAAGTCCACTGTCCCCCCACCACCACTTTGAAAGGCCAAAATCAATTGAATTTTTTTTCATTTTGGAGCACTCAAATTATCATCATCATCATCATCCAGAGTTTAATGAATATGATAGCGTACGGTTTGACATATTAAATTCTGGAACATTACCCGTGAAATACATTAAATTCTCATTTCTGTTTCATGTCACGGTTTGATATATAGAAACCTAGATCGCCAGTACACTCTCCTAAACTTTAGTATATACTTACACCTTAATATAAATGCCGTATATAATATAGTTTTCTAAAATAATACACAAGTTACGACCTAAGAATTGGAATGAATGGTATTAAAAAACTTCATTTACGTAATTTTTTTTTTTTTTTATAGAAAATAAATAGGTCACTGGGAAGGAAAGAGTTATTTAACAGAAAAGATTAACTTTAGAATAAAAATCTAATAATAATCTAACAGAAGTTTAACTTTAATTGGGCCCTTAATATCAGAAAGAAAGTTAATTAAATGGAAGACATAATAATATTTCTTTTGTTGGTCCTGAAATCAAAAAATGNAAGAATTGGAATGAATGGTATTAAAAAACTTCATTTACGTAATTTTTTTTTTTTTTTATAGAAAATAAATAGGTCACTGGGAAGGAAAGAGTTATTTAACAGAAAAGATTAACTTTAGAATAAAAATCTAATGATAATCTAACAGAAGTTTAACTTTAATTGGGCCCTTAATATCAGAAAGAAAGTTAATTAAATGGAAGACATAATAATATTTCTTTTGTTGGTCCTGAAATCAAAAAATGGGACCTAAACCTGTAGTTGCATACTTGCATTGTGATTGACAGATTGAGGCTTGTTTTGGTGAATTGTATAAAACAATAAATACATTAAATATGAATAATGCTTATCTTTAAAGACATACAAATAATACGAACATTAAATTTTTGCAATTTACATGAAATAAAGTGAATAATTTGAAAAAGGGAAGCGCCGGGGCCTACCATGATGGGGGTTAGGTTTTATTTTTTTCAATTTCATGAACCAATCCACATACAAGTTGACCATGAACACATTTGAAATGAAACCACTATTTATATATAAATTAATCAAAAAATAAATATGGGAATGTGTTGGATGGAGTGAGACTTGACTCTTGAGTACTAAGGTGTTGAATTCTTCACCTTTTGATAACAATAGTATAATGAAATGCACAATTATTTAATGAAATGCATGTGCCATCACATCTAGGTAATATATTTTTGCATAAAGTATGATTTGATATTTTCCAAACCAACAAATTATGTAATGCCTTATATCACGGAACACATTTGTTCAATTTTCTTGTGGTAGTAATGTTACATCACTTTGAAAAATACTCATCTATCTATAGGTTTAGAGAGAGTGGAAATCTTAATATTAGTTAAAATGAATCTCTATAATTCATCGTACTTTTAAGCCCATGTCACGAGTTAATAGTAACTTTTTCTAAATAATTGAAGGGATGGAAAAGATATTTTTTTTATTTAACGCAACAAATGAAAAGGGTGTTGTTTTTTAGAGACGAATAATTGAATTAGATTGGAAATGGAAGCGTTAAGTCACAATCGAAGGGATTGGTTTTATTAGCAATAAGTAGGGTCCATATAATTGATATAAATCCAAAGTGGAGTATAAGAGAAGCGTAAGACCCACTTAATTTCTTTCTTATATTATAGTTAAAATTACATGCATATCTACATTTTGACTCTTGTGCATGATTTGATTTTTCTATAGACTTGACATTTACTGCACCTTCTGTTTCTATTTGTATTTGCAGAAGATTTCCATGTGACTAATTATGATTAATTATATAAATAGTGTTAGTGTAGGTCATGATGAGTAGAGATGGGGAAATGTGGGAGAGAATGATGGGTTAGAGTTGGGTTAAAGATGATTAAGGTATCTAAATTAAATAAAAAATCATTTCATCACGTGACTTTGATTTTCGAGATAGTATTAATGCTAAATAAATAATCATTATTATACATACTTTTGTTTTAATTTCGCATTTTTCTGCTTTTAGTTTTTTTTTTTTTTCAACTCAAACTCTTCCTAAATTAAAACAATTAGATGTTAAAATGTATTATGGATCTTCAAGGTCTTTGTAAAATTCATATTATAATATAATTATTCATTGTGTATTATATAATATAAGTGAATGTACAATATTTATTTATGAAAGGATGTTAATAGAAGAATTAAGAGTAGGTGGGAGTGGGATAGTATTGAGAAAGAAGAGGAATTATGTTAGGTCGGGTAGGTAGGGGGCCAAGATAGTGGAAGAGTGAGAAGTGTGTGTAATAATGCGGGGGTGGACATACCATGGCACATAGTGGAATGCAA